GCCTAGTCCGACATTCAGCAAAGTAATATGTAAACGGGACGTCTAGCGCAATTACATGAATTGACAGCATCAGTGTTGCTGCTTCACTGTTTTCGCAATTTTGCTACACTAGTGTTGTTATATTAAAACTAACTTCGAAATCAAAGCCACCTAAGCCGCGTTGTCTCGTCGACCCAATGTTAGATACTTGTTGCTCTGACAACCAAGAGGCTTGTATATCTGTGTCATGTGAGACTAGGTTCAAAAACTTACTCCAAGGAAGAAGACAGTTCTTTGCAGCCTACTCTAGCTTCGCCCATGAATCTATAACCCATTACGCCAGAAACCAACCAAAATTTGACCCTAACTCTGTTTTGTTCATTCCTATATGGTATATACTTATATCCACACCACACTTTTCACTCGTTTTTTGGCCTTCTAAAGATAATGGGCGAAGTAATGTAACTGCTTTTAATCAGGAAATGTACTATATACACACATGCCTCTAAACAAAGGAGGAAGGCTAAGTGAAATTCAATTACATGGTAATACCTACTCGATGTACTGAAGGAAATCCAGCAATAAATAATTCTCATCTTAAGCGACATGGGTTGAGTCTGTACATATTAAAGTGCTGTTTTCAGTTTCGAAATATACTAATTTGATATAGGCATTATCTGCACTAGCATTTTAATCACGTCAAGATAAACAGTACAGATGAATAATTCGGAATTGCAGATATGTTCATGAGGTATTATTAAAAGTGTAAAGGGAAAGAGGACGGGCTCAGATTAATGAATTTAACGGTTTATCGGCTATGGCTTTATAAAATTACCAAGTAATTCAACTTTTATTTCAAATATCTGCTCATGAACAATGCTATTCCATAGGACATAGTACATGTTTAGTGTTATAAAAGAACATTTGTCTATTCCAGGCCACATTCAGCTATGTTTTTACCATTCAAAGACTTTCAGATCGTTAATAAAAATAGCTCTATAAATAATTGTCATATCATCTTCGTCATTTTGTCCCTGTTCAATCAGGGTGTGACTACTCTCAATATTTCTCTATATTCATAGCGACTTATCATTATTATGATAAGCACACGTATTTCTATTGGCAATATTAATGTTAACATACCTCGAGGACGACGTGCCGAGTCCCTGGTGGTACGCAACTGACATATCCAGCACTCGATAAACTTGCTGGAAAGCTAGTTAACCGATTGGATTCTGAGAGTTCCGCACGCGCTTGTGCTTCTGCCCAAGCAACGGTGGCAGCTAATCGATCAGTGGATGCCACGCCCAACTGACTGAGTGGACATTTAGAGGATTCATTAGGTGCTCTGGTAACTTCTCGAGCATCTTCGAAGTTGATGTCGAATTCTGAATCGTCTTGGATTGGCTCGACCAAAACACCTCCCAGATTAATATTACTTGGTGCTGTCACAACAGCAACACAAGCGGTATTTTTGCTAGCGCTGCTGATGATATTTTTTATATTAGTAGGATCTAATGATGCGAGGCCTGATGGTGCTGCTACCGACATAGGTGTCTCCATAGTTCCATCGGGGCCAGGTGCTGTGACCGATAAGGCTGATGAGTACATACGATACAAGTTGAAGAGACGTTGTGAAAAAGCACATTCCACGGTGTGTACTGTCAGTCCGGCACGTAAACAAGCTGCTGTGCGAGAGGGACCAATACCAGCGCGCAGACCTGACAAGTAAGTCGCAGCAGCTTTGGTGTAGTTAGCCTAGAAGTAATCCAAAGGTATTTATTGGTACAAGATATCAAAAAAATCATTCGCCAAGCTTAAATATTATGTTGTTTGACCTTGTTTTCGCAACTTGGTCGTATTAGCAAGATGTAGAGGAAAGTACCTCGTCCGGAGACCATAAAATGCATGATAATTTCCAGTCAGATCGTGGACTAAGTACATTCCCAGACGTTTCACCGGCATCGCCAGTGAGCCTTGTTATTCTTAACATTACACTACAACTCGTCAGAGAAAAGTAAAGCCGATCCTTCGAACAAATGTGTGCTAAACAGTTGTGGTATCTCTCCTTCTGTCCTGGGCTATTTACCTATCCCATATCCTCGGTTCAACCCTTTAAAATCACAATTTCTTACTTGTTTATCTAAACCTATTTGAAATATATTCACACTTCCCGCTGGTTTCCATATCCCTGCCACTGTGCCGGGAGTGCTGATCCAAGGCGATGACTTAATCATTCGGGTCCTATTCGGGACCCCCTCTTACTCCGTAGGATGCTTGCCTTATCTGCCTGTTCCAATGATTTCGCTTCATCGCTGCCACCGTATCTGTGCTACTCAAGGCACAATGTTGTACACTCTGCCGCAAGCCTTTTATAGCACGCATGCTCTAGCCTCAATTAGCAAGTCCGTAAAGTCTGGATTCTCAATCGGCATGGCAAACTAACTTAATGCTGCATATGCTGTTATCACTTTGCGGCATGTATACCGAGTAAATTTTGTGGTCAAGCCCTTACTTCATTGTCCAGGTCTATGAGCGAACTTGTCAACTCGTATCTAATTAACGATGTCCAGCATCATTTCTCTTGCTCTTGTATCCCTAATGCCAAGTATATGATTATCTTATACCCAAGTCTCTTGCGTGCCGACCGCCAAATGCGATAGTTGTACTTGATTTGAATAGGCTCAGTGCATGCGTCTTCTCTTGGCTTCCGATTGTTCCACTCTTGTTTCCTTGTAATTTCTTTTCCTAAAATGAAAAATATTACCTTTGTCTATTCATATTCTTTTAATGATATTGCTGCTTCCTGATCTCATCTGAGTTTGTTTAGGCAGTATGCAAAGTTTTCGCTAACCTCTCTTTCTTCAAGTATCATATTCATTAGATCTCTTTCAGTCAGGATATCGATGGCTGCTCGTATCTTGCGTGGATCTTTCAGTGCTCATGTTTCTGCAATCTTCATTGTTCCTAGATTATTTTTCCTGTTTAAAAAATATATTTCTGCTTAAAGTTGCCGTATTTGTTGCTAAAGGCTCCCGAGCAATACAATTTGTCAACCTTTTCGTATTGCGTCGGCATGCTGGCGAAAAGTATTGTCTTCTTTTTTTTATCACCTTGATATTTCATTGTCCTAGCAACGATCCCAATTTGTAGCTCAGTTCACAGGAGTAC